AAAATTCCTTCTTATGCAGAGTCCTATTATACAGGGTGTATAAAAAACGCAACAAGTAGTCATCTAGTAAAATTACAAAACTAGTGATGACTACATCAATTTAATTCAATGTAACATAAAGCCACGTCTCTCCTCTTTGCAATGGTATGTCCTTCATTTACATGTGAGAAATCCTTCCATTTACACAGTTGGTCAAAATCGGCTCTGGACCAAGTTTTAGATATTGCAAAAATCAGTACAAGGGCTAAGTGCCAATGGAAGTTCCCCCGACTTGAATTGTTGTGACTTTTTCTTTTGGAGCTATCTCAGGATCATCTGTGCTCACAATTCCTCCACCAGATATTGCAAAACCTCAAGAAAGAATTGCCCATGTAGACTAATGGGCTGCTTTTCTCTGCTTTAACCCACAGATGACTCAGGGCTGAACCATGCATGACGTGGACAGATGAGCGCATCTTTATATGCAAGGAAGTGGTGGCAATTTGGTGGGGTATAGGATGTATTCTTGCAAGAGTATGAGTATGAATACTTTACTGTCTATGCCACACCTGTCACACCTTCTTCCAATAGCCCCTATGCCCCTTGTAGTGACTTTTGCAATGTTTAAAACTTGGGTTCGAGCTGAATTTTGCCCCACTTTGCAAAATTAATGATTATTCGGCCAGCTATGACTCCCTGTGAATGAATGATAATTCTATTGCAAAGAGGAGTAATTTGGCTTTTTGGTACATTGAATGAAAAGGATGCAGTCAGCATGATTTTTCTCAATTTCAAGTGGGTGCAAATGAATTTTCAGGTGGTTGCAAGCCTATTTTCAAAATCTCGGGTAGGTGCTGCGCCCACTTGCTTCATTATGTCCCTCAAGCATCATTGTATAAAACTTCAACCAGATCCATCAACTATTTTTTAGTTATCAAAAATTATATTTTTACGAAAACCTACAGTCACTTTAAATTGAGCAACCACAAGAAAAATATATGTTCTTAAACAGAGTGCTACGTCCAAAAGTCATCAATAAATGTTTTCTCATAAGATATCACATTAATTTCTCATTTTGCACAATTTTTCTCATTTTGTAAATTTTTCAAAAAGTCTGCCAATTGTTCATAATTTAACTTTAAAATGGGTGCAATCAGGTATATTTATACAAGGTTACAAGCCCTCTTTTTATTAATTAATGTTTAATCTAAATCAAAAGGATGTGTCAAATTACAAAATCTGAATAAATTGTGAATAAATAAAATAGCTGCTGGCTCATCCAATTTATGAATAGGTGTTAATTGCATGATCCTTTTAATGTTTTAAGTCATGCTTTCAATGTAAGCATGCAATAATAGAGTTCAAATCAAAATGTGCACAAAGTCATAATGATTTATCTTCATATACCAGTTCATTCCTTCAGTCATGAAACAACTCTATGGATCAAGATTTAATCTGTGCAAATCAAACTATAGCCAAGCTACATGTAGTCTTGCATCACATCACATCATGACATTGCCTTGTTTTCTATGGAGGCAATGTCTTTTATTTCACCCAAAATTGTTAAACATACATGTACTGTAATAATGAAAAGTAACTGAGGTGTGAAATATTTTTTACCAATACCAATTTTGGTACCAAAAACTGAATGTGAATGATTTTAGAATATTTTCATCAAAATTCAATGTTTTTTTTCTGTGCCACAGAAAATAGATAGATAGCCAGCATGCATAATATTATTTCACATATTTCATTATTACTTCATTTTATATTGTCCACCTACAAGCCTGTACAAGGTTTACTTAACAGGAAAATCATCAAGACAAGATTTTGATACGTTGAGTGCTTTCTCTGATATATGGTCGCTATATAGGAAGTCAATTGGCAAAAACACATGCCGAAACGCATGCTAAAATGCATTTGGTTTTTTACAACCAATTATGGGTTCATGAGAAGGCTATTAAGCACTGTTTCTTGTTATAATGTGTTTATGGTTAATGTGTAATAATAACAAGGAAACATAATGAAGATTTACAAGCAATCTACCTGCAAATAGGTAAATGTAAATGGCATATCCTCTCGTATCTTAATCAAAACTAGAAAATAGCAACTTTGAGCAATATCAAATCAAGGCATATCAAAGTATGTTTTCTCAAATTATGTTTTCTCAAATTAATATGTCTGCTTTGGAAAAGTTTGAAAACATATGTATTTTGTCTTGTTTTGGTCGGTTTATATATTTTCATATATAATTCTGCAAGCAGACCGAGTTGAATGGAGACTACAGTAGTTAGAGCGAAGGGGGGGGTCGGTTTATATATTTTCATATATAATTCTGCAAGCAGACCGAGTTGAATGGAGACTACAGTAGTTAGAGCGAAGGGGGGGGGGGGGGCAACTCATGGGCTTGATGCAGGAACTTCATATTTCTTCCCTATTATGACTATAGTCCTGAGCCAAACCCTCTTATCTATTTTCATACCCTGTTATATCAACAATAGAAGGATGCGTAACAGTTGCTTGATTAACATTCCTTAGGACATTCATATTCAGGTTATGAAAGTTCAACTCCCGGATCTAAATTATATCACTATTTATCACATTCTTAAGATACTAATGGAAATATTAATAGAGGTCATCTTAACTAAAAACAAGTCCTTTGATGTTCTAATTAAAGTGCTCTTTAAAGGTCATAATCTTTGTTTTTATTAAATTAATTAAAAACCAACAGGAAACTGGCCCTTAAAGAGCATAGGTATAATATATCTAGCATGAGATAAAAGTCGGAACTAAAAGTTTAAGCATAATAAAATGGCTAAAAGCAAGCTTTTTTGAGAATAAATCTTATTTGCACATCATTTGTCAAATCCTCTGCATTTTATTACTATTTAGAAATCAAGACAAACAAGTGTAACATTTCTCACAATGTATTGCCCTTCACTAAAAATTCTATATTTTTCTTTCCTTTTTCATTTTTGAAGATTTACCCCAAATATTTCCTATGTTTCTCATTCTTTTGCATTATCTTGTCCAGATAGACATTAATATCTTGAAACTACAGTAGTTGCATTCAGAAAAAATCAGTAAAAAACTAAATGATTGGTAAATATAAACTAATGAAACTTCAAGTCAAAACTTTCAATTGTTCTAAAATGCAAAAAATAGTTTAGTACATTCAAATTTATCAAAGAAATTTTGAAAAGAAATCCTCACCAAATTAACATTTTGAGATAGGGTTTAACAAAACTGGAAATTCTTGGCCAGTTAATGGTACCAGATGATGAAATAAATCTTTCATTTTGTTAAACTCACGTCAATAAATTTGAAAACCTCCTCTGATCTTTAGGTATTAATCCTAGAATTCGGGCAGGTATGCTAAAGCAAAGATTTGTTGGGTGTTGGAAGGTATAAACAGTTAAACATATCACAGAAATAAATGTTCTTACAAGAGTTGCAACTGTACTGCCACATAAATTGATTTTACCCTGTAGCAATAATTACTAGATAAAGCTTTCTTTTAGGGCAGAGAAATTAAATAAAAAAGAGGACACAATTTAGAATTTTACACATAATGAAAAGAACTAACCAATGAAGGTGACCAATGATCAAAAGCAATTTTTTCACAGCTAGCGTTTCCATGTTGTGTACTATATAACAAAGGAATTTTGATGTTCCATGAATGGTGAATGGAATTTCAGAGGCTGAACTAAAATCAACAATGAATTACATCCAAATATCGTTGAAAATGTAACATATCGGGGATAGTTTGGGAAAATCAGGGGTAGTTTGGGAAGATCAGGGGTAGTTTGGGAAGATCAGGGCTAGTTTGAGAAGATCAAGCATAGTTGAGGAAGAGCAGGGGTAGTTTGGGAAGATCAAGGATAGTTGAGGAAGATCGGGGGTAGTTTGGGAAGATCAGTGGTAATTTGGGAAGATCAGGGGTAGTTTGGGATGATCAGGGATAGTTGAAGAAGATCAGGGGTAGTTTGGGAAGATCAGGGGTAGTTTGGGATGATCAAGGATAGTTGAGGAAGATCAGGGGTAGTTTGGGATGATCAGGGATAGTTGAGGAAGATCAAGGATAGTTTGGGAAGATCAAGGATAGTTTGGGATGGCATGGGACAGTTTGGGATGATCAGCTATAGATTGGGATGGCCAAAGATGATAAGCAATGGATTGAGGTTGCCGGGGATAGTTTGGAATGATTAGATACTATACTGCTAACCAGACAATTTATTTATTAAGTCCTTAAATGTTCTACCAATCTAAAAATTTATTCAAAGCAATAAAGACAACACACATTTTTATTCCCAATTTTCACGAATTTGGCATCAATATTCTTGACTCATTCACTTCTAATTTATGCTCAGGTGTCTTGATGCGTTCAACTGAGGCCCAGAGGAATGAATCCATTATTTCATCACGATCTAGCTCATTTACAAATGACACATAGCTTATTGTCAATAATAACCACAGCATGAGTGTAAATGTACCTGTAGAAATGTCACTCTGCAAGAATCAAACCTAATTTATTGACTCAAATTATGATCTATGCTTTATTCAGGTGAAATATGTAGTCAGAAAATCATGAAAATTGCTCTATTTGTTTGCATACATATGCAATAACATAATAAACATATCCAAAAATGATTCATTTGAGATCAATAAGGTTTTACCAGCATCTGTAAGATGATCCAACATAATCAGAGGGTAGAATGATATGAGCAAAGGGTAGAGATATATATGCAGCTGTATCATTGTATGTTTTATATGCAACTATTGTTAGATCATTTATAAAGATATATTATATATAGGTGATGTCAGTAATATGCAGTTGATTATCTAACCCACAATATATTAGGCGTTTGTTTCGGAAGATGAATGGAATGGATATGTTGCCTAATCTCATGCTTTCACCAAATACCTGAAATAACTGGCTTTGTACTGCCATATGACCCTTCTTAATATCCCTTTTTTTAATTTGTCGCAATTGAAGTAAAGGTAGTATCAGATCTACATACCCGATTTGATTGGTGCAATACTGAGTGAAACCTGAGCGCCATGGTGACCGTGACTAGGCCCCCCACTGATAAGTTGAAGTACGTAAACCTGTTGTGAGGTAGATGTGACATCACGACTTCTGCACCCTGTTGTCATGGTAACCTGTTGGTATTGTGCTGTCACAAACGGTGATGAAAAATATGATTCCATATGACAGTGAACATCTGCTATCACTGGAAATACATAGAAATATGCCATGAATTAAAGTGCTAAGTTTCGAAAAAGTAGAAATACATGGAATGTACCATGACTTTTTAGTATGGCGCATGTTCACATTTTAGTAGGGACCTATAAAAAGTGTTCACACTGAGTGGTATTTAGATGGAGCGGTTTTATTGTAGATATAGTATGACTGATCAATATTATAAAGCATTAAAACTACAAAATCATCTATAATAGTCAGAGTACAGTGTGGCTGATGATAATGCTGAGTAAAAGAAAATAGTATATATAAAATATGGTAGACTTGATAAAACATAGAATTGAACAAGGTCTCCTCAATCTATCATGAACTTGATTTACAATCAAGAACACTGCAAAAATTAGGCACATTAGAATCATTTATCAGGCCATATGAGTCCAGAATCATTCTTCCTAAATGCTCAGTTTCAGAATTAAATGTACCCATTAGTTCTAAAGCTGACTTTCCCTGTTGAAGTTAAGGGCAGGCATTCAAAAAGGAAGTTCTATTTTACTAAACCAAGCCTACTCCAAGAACATAATAATAATCAGAGCCTACAGACATTTTTCTTTTAATAATATCCATGAAATATCTTTTTCTGTTGAGTATGTCTCCCTTAAATTAATTCTCCCTGATTTCTTAAATTATAAATTACCCAATCTGAGCTATTGTGTAACTTCAACCATGAGTAACACCTCTCCTGAGTGATTTCTCATTTGAGTAACCTTTCTGTTTCATCCTTGAGTAAGAAAAAGTAGAACTAAAGATGCCTAATGTCTAACATCACTTTCATTAAAATTCAACAGATTTAATTTCACTCGTTTACCTAATTTCCGGAATGTTTCTACTTCCATCTGACTTTAGACATGTAGGATTGGCTAGTATTACCCTTGGGATATACTGGGCTCTATACAACACTCATTTTGTACCGGATTATTAATAAATATTGAGAGAAAAGCATCCTATTTAAACCACATATTCCCATTACATGTTACTTTTTACATCACAAATGCGGATATTCCCATAAGGAAAATATTCTGGAACTCAAGCCTTAAAATGAAAAATACAAGTAAAACGTGTGGAATGACAAAAGATCAAAAGTAAACACAAAAATATAGAAACAACGCAAACAAAAATGAAGTGCATATTCTAAAAAAATTCCTTGAAAAGTGAGTAATTGCATGGACTAGTCATGATCTGTTATTGATATTATGTAGAAGGATCTAATTAGCACTAATCAGAAGAAACAATGGCCCTAATGGATCAATTCAGTTAGAAGATCTATTAGACAACAACCTAAATATCACATCCTTTTTAGGTACAGAATGTGCTCAAAAATCTACTACTGCAATACATTTCAAAATTATGAACTAACTTCTAATATATAGTTGTGACTTGCGGCTGAAGTATTTGCTTAATTTATTTTATGCTGCTCTTACGATTTTTAAATCCTTGTTAACCTTTTATTTTTAACATTTCAATGTAGGTTTCAAGAAAATATTTAACTTTATAATTTTGGGATCTTGAAATTCATTTATTTCTAATATGTTTTTCCTAACTAATATCCTGCATAAAAAACGTGCAGTGTGTTAAAAATGAAATATACTATTCAATAAAGAATTACCAATACAGGATAACCAACCATGACTTTTCAGAGAAGACATTTTCTCAATCAATTTCTTTCATAAATTATTTCTAAAGTATAAGCATTATCTTTTAAATACTGATATCTTATATTAATTCATTTATTGAAGACTTAAATCAAGTGAAGACAAAACCCTTTTTTCTCAATGATGAAAAATTCTCAATGACTAGTAATAATCTACATTTTGTTCTCTTAAAAAATAATCAATCTATTAAAAAGGGCAATGACTTATGAGGTAAATATTTATTTGAAATTGATGATCAACCTCATTACCATTTCCAGGTTAGGTTATCTGGTACATATTAAACTGCAACCTGTGAGTCTAGTACAAGGCTGGTTGACATTTAAAAGCATACTATGGTACAAAGAGAGAAACAAGTACGAAGTAAATGAAATAGACATGAAACTTATATATAAAAATGACAATAAAGGACAGAGCAATTTATTTTCAAGAAATCTGCAAAACAACAATAACTAATGTTATATTATCTATTTAATATATCTGAATAGGTTTTTCCAACTTTCTTGCTTTTACATATACTGGTACACATTGTATTTTGAATAGAGAATTCATCCATATAATTATATTCCTTGTTAATTCCTCTCAATGCCACTTCAGCTTTATGACCTCAATCATGATGAACTATATCTACTGGAATATGCATGATGCGCGCAGTGCTACAATAATAGAAATACCAGTACAATACCTGATTTTTAAAAAATACTCTACCGAAAAAAAGAAAAACTTTATATACATATACTTGTAAAAAAGCAGGAGCAAAGATGTGACATCAACAACACAACTACTGAACAATCCTACCTCATTTTAAAAAGAAAAAGAGCAGATTGTGATCATGAAATGATTATGTAAGGGATATGACTATCACTGAGTGCAATGAGGGTGCAATTAATATAACAAGGGTCTCAAGTATTGTGTACACATCAATGCTATTAGATTCAGTGCATTCTTGCTATCTGCATGGTGTATACATTTTCATGTATATATAGAGAGAGATTATCCTATATCCCTTGTCTAATATAATATATCTATCCCCGGGACCTCAGATATATTATATTAGCCTCGGGATAATCCCAATATCCTTAACCTCATATAGGATAATCTCTATATATTGTATATTATATTAGCATATTTTATTTGCAGAAAAATGACAAGACCAGAAACATTTGTATATCATCTAATAAGAGTTAACATTTCTGCCAAAACGCCAGGGAAAATCATAAAGAGTTTGGTCAAACTAATCAATTTATTCATTATTTTCAAGAATATCAACTGGATTGTACATATAAAAGATTTTCAACTTTGTTCAAGATAATTTTCTAATTCTCATGGGTCCAACTGTTTCAATGTTGAAAGCATGAAAAGATCAGCTCTATTAATATATGTATCATTACCATGGGCCTTGAGGCAAGTAGTATTTTTATTATTTATAAAACAAAACTCTCTTGAATATGAGGAATAAAACAGTAATATATTAATGGTTTCATTAGCAACAGGACATTTCCGGTTTTGTTAACCATAATCACTTTTTGTTTTGAGGAATATTTGCAACTGTTTCCATGTTAAAATCATAATTCTTTTAATAATGTTGGCCTTTGTTCTGATCCATTTTACCTGTTAGAGATTCAAATGAAACCCCTGTGTATTATGCTAGGGCTCTACTGACTAGATTTGTTAATATGAGAAACCATGCCATTTGGTTCAATAATTGAAATTCCTGCTATCATATTAATTGACCTTCTCTCTGAACCTTGTTTTTATGCTTCCTGATCAGCTACAACAGCTAAAGAGGGAAAGAATAGTGGAATGCTCGTTAAAATGGTTATTTGTATGGCTAAGATTGTAATTGGTAACTTAAATATCGTAGATGGCAACTTCAAAAGCCAAGATGGTAATTAGTATTTTGAATAGCTAAGGTGGTAATTAGTATTTTGAATAGCTACGGTGGTAATTAGTATTTTGAATAGCTAAGTTGGTAATTAGTATTTTGAATAGCTAAGGTGGTAATTAGTATTTCGAATAGCTAAGGTGGTAATTAGTAATCTTAATGGTTAAGATAATAACCCAAATAATAAAGATGATGACTTGAATAACTATTGTGGCCATTTAACATAAACAGCCAAATTAATTACTTGAATATAGTTTAAGTGCTAACTAGAATAAATTGAAAATGTAGACAGCTATGGTAATACAAATAAATAGTTAAGGTTAAAACATGTATAGCTAGATCAAAACATGTCTAACTAATGTGAATAGCTAGGGTGACAATGCAACTAGCTAGTGTGAAAACATGAACTGCAAAGGTGACAACCTTACAAGCCAGGGAGACAGGCAAGAACACGATGCAAAACAAATATCCTAGATGCGAGAAGAAATAATCTTGATTTACGTCATTAAAAATTCAGTCAAACTGATGTCATATTTGGAATCTTCGTGTAAAATTACATCTAAAAATGTTAGTTTTGAAAAGAGTTTATCAACATTGAAAATTCAATTTTCTTTGAAAAAGTGACTTCTAGTTTGGGGAGATTCCCCATAGGCCCCATGTTGTAAAATCACAAAAATGGAAATATCTTTTCTTGTGTTGGGCAGGTAATATTTTCTTTAACTGAACATATTTTAAGTTGCATAACTATCAGATATATAAGGATAATATGAAAAGTGAACCACTAAAACTGATGAATATTCAAGTTTAAGGGAATTTTCTAATACCCTAGCTGCCATGTTATTCCCCCCGAATCAGCCACCTGGTGGCAAAACTGGTGACTACATACTCACATCTAAGTAATTGGCTGAATCCACAATATGTACACTTTCTTAAGAATATCTTACAATATAGATAATCATTTATAGCTATATATATATAAAATCTTTCATCAAGCTAGAAAAACAGTATCTTTTTAATATTTATTTGATATCTACAGCATTGTAAAATTGTATGTATAATGGTACCTGTATTGTATTGTATAATGGTACCTGTATAATCTTCAGGAAGAAAAAAACATTGGGTTATCATATACAGGGTGGCAAAAAAATGACAACCCGGTAGCTATTTTCACCATATCTTTGTCATTTTAAGAAATAACTCCTTGATTTTTGGCACATCTGTACATCACCATATTTCATGACCAGTACCATCAGACAGATAGTCACAATGTTACAGCACTTTAAACAACATGCTCCAGTATTGCGCTATAGGCAAACCTGCACACATCGTCCAAAATATCCTTACCTGACTTCTACCCGTAGGATATATAAGGGTTATGTACTGGGAGGTTTTGGATACAGGTTTTATCCCAAGGGAAATATGTGTATATCCCGAGGGACC